GAAGTAAAAGGTCCCGACTTTATGGAAATGCGACAGAGAGAACGAGAAAGTTGAAAGTTTCGGCCGGAAGGAAGAGAGTTTAGGGAAAGATAACCGGCGAAAAATTAGGGTTTCTTCGTCTTCGTCTTCGTCGGAATGCTGGTTGAAGAAAGAGTTTTTTTTTTTTTGGCGGATGAAAAGTAGCAGAGAGGGAAACCGAAACGATCCTCTTAATGACGTTAATGACGTAGCTTTAATTTGTTTTCCTTTTAATGACGTGGATTATCTTAATTTTCGTTAATCATTTCTTAATTAAAAAAAGAATAAAAAAATCTTAATTAAAAAAAACTATCCAAGGGTGTTAATTGTAATTACACAAAGACGCTAAACATATGAGTAATTTTTAAAAAATGTATGATATTCTAGTAATATTCCAACTTTTCTATAACATCTGAGTAAATATTTCTTAAAGCAACTGTTCAATTTTAATAAAATTTGTTTAAATTTTGCAAAAAAACATTGTATAATTTTGACAAATATAACTAAGGATTCTTGGATATATATATAGGTTATCAGATATTTTTGTTTTTTTTTATTTTTTTGGATATACAATTATAACTAAATATTAATAATTTTTTAGATATCTAATTTTATATTGGATTTTCGGGTATATATGTTGTTCGGTTTTCGGTTCGGTTCTGGTTCTTTTCGAATAATTCGGGTAGAAGCATTTAGAATCTGTTCAAGTTTTATGATTATTTGGTTCGCTTTCGGAACCGGATTGTTCGGTTTGGTTTTTGGGTTTATGATTTTGGGTCCGTTCGTTTCATCATTAACCATTTCCATCCAAATGGTCCATTTAAATGTTCCATCCAAATGCTCCATCTGAATGTTGTTCGTTTCAATTTTTGGATGTTCATTTGGATGGAACATTTGAATGAATTTTTGTTTGTTTGTTTAATTTTTTACAAATCTTTATCTCCATCTAGATGACTTTAATAAGAAAATGACTAAAATACTCATACTTTAATTTACTTATATTTTAAATCTTAATCTAAGCTATATTAATTTAATTCTTGCTCTAAAATATATTTTCATCTAAATAATTTTTAAATTATTATTTTAACATACAAATTAAGTTTACGGTTTTGACGAAAAAGATAATTTTACGGTTTAGGCGGAAAACATAATTTTGCGATTTTGGCGGAAAAACATAATTTTGCAATTTTTGGCGGGAAAATGTTATATTGCAATTTTGGCGGGAAAACATAGTTTTTCGATTTTGGCGGGAAAATATGATTCCGCAATTTAGGCGGGATAACATAATTTTTACAATTTTTTGGTGGAAAATTAAGTTTTGTGATTTTGGTGGAAAAATATGATTTTACGGTTTTGGCGAGAAAACACAATTCCTCAATTTTTTCGGTTTTGGTGGGAAGACAGAATTCCGTAATTTTCCCACCAAAATCGTGATTTTATAGTTTTGGTGGGAAAATATGATTTTACGGTTTTGGTGGAAAACACAATTCTTCAATATTTTTTGTTTTGGCGGGAAAACAGAATTCCGTAATTTTCCCGCCAAAATCGTGATTTTATAGTTTTGGCGGGAAAATATGATTTTACGGTTTTGGTGGAAAACACAATTCTTCAATATTTTTTGTTTTGGCGGAAAAAACAGAATTCCGTAATTTTCCCGCCAAAATCGTGATTTTATAGTTTTGGCGGGAAAATATGATTTTGCACTTTTGGCGAGAAAATATGATTTTGCGGTTTTGATGAATTCCATAATTTTCTATCAAAAATCACGATTTCACTTTTTGGCGGGAAAAAACACAATTCTGCGATTTTATGATTTTGACGAAAAATGATAATCATTGATTTCACGATTTTTAGAAATTTTATTTGGTGCAAATATGTAATTTTTAGAATATAAAATGAAAAATCTATGGAAAATAAACATATTTGATTTATGATTATAAATGAGGGTATATTTGTCATTTGTTATTTTTAACTGAATCATCTCCATCCAAATGCTCCAATCATGTTCATCCAGATGAGTTTGAAAAATTTGCCTAAAATTACAAAATCATTCAGATGATCCATCCAACTAATTCATCCAAATGATCTGTTAAATTGTAAAAAACGAACATCATTTTTCATCTCCATCCAGATGATCCATGTGAATGGAGAAACGAACAGGGCCTTTATGCCTAGTTGTTCACCTCGTCTTAAATACAATGACTCCAATTTAGACGTTTTGCTATCTGTTATGAAATCCATCTTCTAACAAAAATGAACGACCAATTTATATATCACAATGTAGCACATTTCTCTCATGGTTTTGACCTAACTCTATTTGAAATGACTATAATCAAATCATCTCATTTGTCACATATGTTTCATAACCATAGTCAACGTCACAATTTGACAGCTACAATCTTCTTCAATTTTGAAACCCAACAAACTGTAGTACCACCATAAGCGTATAAATACTCATATGTGTTCTTCATGCATCAATGCTACCTTCATTGTCAACATCAACATATCCCTACTATCTTAACTAAGACTTTTTGAAATTTAGCTCTCAATTTGGATTCCCCCTTTAGATACCAGAAAATTCACTTAGCAATCTCCCAATGTTTCTTTCCAGGGTTACACGACTACCACATGTGTAATGTTTGGCCTTGTACATACCATTGCGTACATGATACATCAGGGTACCAATAGGAAAGATATATGAAACCTTATCCATATACACCATCTCATGTTCACTTATTGGTTATTGATCTTTAAACAACCAAAATTGGCTCGCATGGGAAGTAATAACCAGTTTGGTGTTATCCATATTAGACCTCTCGAAGATTTTTTTTCACGTACTCTTCTTGCGACACCATATAATGGCTTTGCTTATATTGATCTCGTCCTAAGAATTTGTTTGCATTCTCCTATGTCTTTTATCGCAAACTGATAAAATTTTACCTTCAACTTGCTATTCTCATGCAACTATGCAAGTCTGCTGCCACTATCAACATATCTTCTACATACAACAAAACTATCAAGTAGGACTCTCCACACCTCTTAAAATAACAACAACTCAGCCTCACCTAAAGAAAGTCACAAAGTTGTCAAATCTCTTGTACTACTATCTCAAAGTATGGTTCCACCTGCACAAACTCTTGTAAAGCTTGCAAACAAACTTGTCTTTTCCATTGATCTTAAAATCTTAGATTTCATAATGTAAATCTCTTCCATGAAATCACTACGATGAAAAAACAGTATTTACATACACATTAATTTATTTTTAAAATATAGTTTAAAGACAAAAACCCCCGATAACATAAATTATATCAAAATACATAAAATTCAGGAGATTCAACTATGAAATTAGTATGACCCAAATACTTCAACCAAAGACGTATAAAATTCGGGTTAGGATAACTATGTTTGATATGTTCCAAATCGTGTGATACTTGTTGTGTCTCTACTCTCTAGGTTCTCTACACCTACGATCATCTTAGCTTCTTGGTCCTCCCTTAATATGAGGGTCTTTATTTTCGGCTAGTTTCTGAAATTGGTTACAAACCGATCACATTATTTTTTCTTTGTTTTCACATTTACTCATCGGTTGGGCTGATTTGAGAATAATCGGTATGTGAATTCCATTGCAACTTATTTTTAATTTCTTTAAATAAAATCTCATTTTGAAAAACATGTGAAAGACAACAACTCTCTTAAATGCCACCGCGAAACAAATCACAGCCTCGTTGAGGAAATATTTTATGGACAAATACTAAACTCACCAAACAATTATTAATCTCTTGTCATATACTCATCTACACTTTGGTGTAGTAAGAATTGGTTTAACCTTACATGCACGAAAAAGCTATCCGTGCAGGTTGAGCAACACAGATGGCAATGAAGCCCGAACCGCTCCCTTTACCTGGAATATGAACTCTTGCTTGTCAATACGACTCGTCGTCTAGACTTAGTCAACACGACCCTCCGCTTTTGCTAGCTTTAAGAATATATCACATGTAGTCACATATATAAAGAATAAACAGTTACACTCATGTATTTTACGAGTCTTTATGTAGGTGCAACCAAAAACAAAAATCTTCATATCTTTAATCTCCTTTTCTCATATGATTGATGTAAAGAAAACGTGTAATGAGTTACATGATTTGTTGTCAAATTATAGTCCAATCATTTTTATAAATAGTTTGAGCCAAACTTAGTCAATAAATAATAAAATTTTGGCTCACACATTTACAAAAGTAATGTCTTAAGCTAACAACAGTAGTCTAAAACGAATCAATGTTTTCGAAAAAAATTAATCAAAACCCTTTTTTTTCCTTTTTCTTTTAGAACCTTATATTAATTCTTTTGTGAAATTTGGAAGAAAAAGAGACAAGTAATGGGGTCAGCATCAAAAGAAATCGATTTAACACGTTCAAGTTTCAACAATATTAGTGATTTAATAACAATTCAACATCAACCACCTATATTGGTTTTGTGATTACTGATTAGTAGAGTCTAATAGTCCACTGTTGATGACTCTAAATAATCATCATAATTGAAGAGTGATTGAAAAATAGAATAGAGAGAGGACAAAAGGAAGAAGTAGGTCCATTATCAAACTCCTAGTGAATATTGATGATGCCACCGCCAAAACAGTTCATTAATACATCTTCTGTTGCTTCACTTTCCTTCTTTTAGTGCCTTCTCTAAACCACCCAATTTTCTTTCTTTCTTTTTTTCATATTCCAAGATTTGCATTTGAGATTTTCTCTTCTCTTTTTAGGAAATCCTCTTAAATCGAATATAATAATATCACAAAAATAGGACTAGATACAAAAAAAAAAAAAAAAAAAAAAAAAAAAAAAAAAAAAAAAAAACTAAAAAAAGTATAGAATATCAAAGAGCTCTCTTGAAGCTAGTTGGCATAATATTCTATATGTTATCGAATATTCGATATATGTAAATGGCCAGTTGGGCAATTACCTTAAATCATATGATCGACAAATATTTCTGCAAATTTATAAAATAAATTAAGATTAAAAGACAGTAAAATTATTACCATTATGTTCACATTTAGCAAATATTTCATGGACGAATTTCTCCACGTCGATTTTCGAAATCTCATAATTTTCCGGCGCCGGGATATACGGTGGTCGTGATACCTTTAGCACCAAATCCCAATCCAACCCTCTGAAGAAATCGTGTCCCTTGATTCCTTCCACATTAATCCTACGGCTAGGATCTTTCTCCAACAGTTTTCTTACCAAGTCTCTTAACGATGTCGTTTCTCCGACCAAACTCGGCGGTTCAGTTAATATCTTTAAAAAAGTCTCTTTCCTGTTCGATCCCCTAAACGGCGTCGCTCCGTACAACATCTCATACAAAACCACTCCCAACGACCACCAATCCACGGCGAAGTCATGGCCACTCCCGGTAATAACCTCCGGCGCAACATATTCCTCTGTTCCAACAAATGAATTTGACTTCTCCCCGGAAAACTCCGACTCGGACGATCTCGAAACCGAGTCGTCCGGGGAGATTCCGGAGTTACAAAAACCGGAAAATGCGAACAAAGACCGTTCTTTTCTCGTCGCCGTCGAAACTCTCGGCGACGATGAAGAAGATTGCGGAGTTCTCGGAGGTAGATTCGTTGAAAGATCGAAATCAACAAGCATCAAATGACCATTCTCTTGAATCATCACATTATCTGGCTTCAAATCTCTGTACACAATACCTTGATTATGCAAATACTCAAGTGCGATCACAAGCTCCGCCGCGTAAAACCTTATGATCTCATCGGAAAACATTTCTTCCGACTGTTTCTTCCTTAAAGAATTGAGATCTCTTCCAGGACAGTAATCGATCGCGTAACCGACAACTTTATCAGTAGATAAAACACCATGAAGACGTGGAAACAGAGGATGGTCGAATCGAGACAAAACTCCTTGTTCGAAACTAATGCGTTTGTACTCATCTTTTGTCTTCTTTGTCTCTATTGATTCTCTTAGTATGACTTTTAATGCAAGCCATTTATTATCGGCTTTTACGAGGAACACAACTCCTTTAGATCCACGACCAAGGGCTGAGAAAACCTCTAGATGGTCGAAGTTGAGAGTCTGGATCTTGTTATCCGGTGGTGAGAGGTGGTTGTCGTTCATCGCCGGAATCCTCAGAGTTTATTTTGATTATTTTTTTATGGTTTAATGTTATTTGGTTCTCTTTAAGGCAGTTTTTATAGGAAAGAAGGAGTTAACCGGTTAAGCTTTTCTAAAGGTAGGTCCGTATAGATTTTGTTTCCTTGCCGGGAAAGACTTGAATAAACGTTTTAACAAAAAAGAAAAAAGCAAAAGCTTACGTAGAATTTTCTTAACGTACTTTTACCATTTTACTCCTTCTCGAATCACTATTACTTTGTCGTCAAAGCATCAAATGTATTCATTCATTTCAAACAACAAATTTGGTAAAATTGAAAATTTTCCATAGAAAGACACAACTAAAATGCGCAACTTACAAATAAAAAATAAAAAGCGTGTTTTTAACCTTCCTAATCAATACACAAACTAACAAGTAACAAACAAGTTCGATTCTCTCTGGAAACAAAAACACATTTGTTTGGGAAGTCTGTCAGTTGAGCCTTGGCCCAATTGGTTTACCTGGTAGTCAGAAATGCAGGCGGCCTGACTACTCTCTGGCATTAGTCGGAAGGCATTCCAAACTCGGATCAGGCAGTGTGGTGGCCCAATTCTACCTGGATCGGGAGAAGTCCACTCTGTAGCACCTCGGTGCGTTCCTACCGAGGCTGACCGGATCAGCCGATAGGGTTTATCAAAAAAAAAGTAACAAACAAGTTAAACGAGTAAAGATTCTTGGCGGAAAAAAACAAAAACAACGAATGGTACATAAGAGTGTATATTTATAAATAATTTCTAAATAATATTATGAAACTCACATGGTTTCATTCAGCAATTCTCATATGCAAATACAGTAAGAAGATTTTATCTTTTTCAAAGAGTTTTTCTGAATATCGAGTTAGAAAAAGGGAAGATATATATATATTTTTTTAACCAATTACCTACAAAATTTTGACGAAAAATGGAAGTGAAAAAAAATTGGTAAGAAATTTTCTACGAAAAGGTACCATTAGTGCCGTCTCATTATATTGGAGGGCCTTAAGTAAAACCATGAAAATTTAAACTCTCTTACTAAAACAAAAATTTCTAAAAATGGGCCTTTTTTAATGGTTTTGAACCCATCGCAAATGTCTATGTTGTCTAGGGGTAGAGACGGGCCTAATTAGAAAGTGATAAGAAATTTCCTACCAATTTCCGTAAGATAATCGGTAGAAAATTGATAGGAATTCAGTTGAAAAATTGACCGTAGGAAGTTCAAAAGAAATTTCCACCTATATTTTATGAAACTGAATAGTATGAAAATTAATGTATACATGTTAAAAATGTTTAAGACGGTAATCTATTGATTTTATTTATGATTTTATAAATTACTATAAGAAATTTTTTATCAACAAATTATTAATTCAATAAATATTATTATAAATGATTATATATTTGTTAATAAATCTGTAGTAAATCCTATACTATTATTTGGGGAGTACACTTTATAAGATACCCTAAACTAACCTTCCCTTTTGTAAGAATTTACTTAAGAATGCCATTACAAAAATCTTCTTTTAGAACAAATTTCATTCAATTTATTAAGGATAAACAAGTAAAATACTAATTTATGTCATTTAATTAATTTAATTAAATAATAAAACGAAAATCTGTTATATTTTTTTTTTTAAATGACCAATCAAAATGAACAAATAAGATTTGATATCTAACTTACCATATTAATTTGTTATTAATCATTAAACTTCACCTCTCATCTTTATATGATTATATTAATATGAAACAAATAAATCATCATATCATCTACATAATAAAAAAAGTAAATTTTTTTTCTGCATATGCCAAGATTTGAATTTTTAAAAACGCATATAAATTGTTCAATCTATAAAGGAAACAATTAAACGGGTCAAAAATTCAGACTTGAGTAATATATTTTTTTTACACAAAAATAAAGTCAACAAAAATTTCGACCGAGCAACGGGTCAGAATTTGAATATTTATATTCGATTTCATACATTTATTTTTTTGAAATGTATAATTTTATATACTACAATAAAAATTTAAATATTTTAATTTGCAACATTTAAAATAAGTTTTACTTGATATTTTTAGAGAATATCATCAATACTTAATAGTTCAAAAAGTTAAAAATTATAAATACTCTAATTTGATTATTTTAAAAAATATTTATAATACGTATCGGGTTAAATATAATATATTATATGATGAAATGAGTTTTGATCCTTATAACTATTTGAATAGTTATATTTAATTTCATATAATTTGTTTTTTGAAATTCGTAATTTTATAAACTACAAAAAAATTTAAAGATTTTAATTTGGAATATTTAAAAATAGTGTAGAACATTTAAATATGGTTTGACACCTCTAAATATTTGAAAATTTGATTCCGCAAGCAATTTTAGAATTAACGAATAATAGATTGTGCACGCAATATTTTAAAATGAAATATTGAGATTCTAAAATAAAAATATAGACTCCACGCACGTGTTGATTTTGGTATTATTATATACTAAATATATGTTTATAACATATTCGATTATGCGAATAATTGGTAAATTCCGTAATTATAAATCTCAAACAAATTCTGTAATTAGATTAGCTCAAACAAATCTCTATTTCAACAACCAAAGAATTATGAATTGAAAAAGAATTTTCTAAATTAATTCAAATTAATACCTAATTTTCTTAATTAATTCAAAATAATCTATGTTTTATATGTGATTTATTTATGATATTTTAATTTTTGATCTACCTGAAATATATGCAATCCTATTTTGTGGTTGTTAACATAAATTAACTCATTGTTCAAAAAATATTACTTTTTAAAAAATAAAATTATTTTCCGTTTTCATATCTTAAAGAAAAATTATCCATAATTGAGTATTATAGAAAAAATTCTATATTTATTCTAACATTGTATATAGGGACTGACAAAAAAATTAATATTTTTTCACTTACTATTATAATATATTAAAACTTAGTTCTAATATATATATTATATAAATTTTGTAATAAATAAAATTTAACCCGTACTTTAGTACGGGTGATGATCTAGTAAGTATATATTTGGGAAAGTACTAACAAACAATTTTTTTGTAGGAAAACGATAGGATATAGTAATTTCCTATTGTTTTCCTACGATATACCTTCTAGGAAATCCAATTTTTTTTGTAGTTTCAACTCAAAAGTAAACGCAGGAACGAACCTCAAAAAAAAATCAAAGATTTAATCATACTAATAAGAGAAAGTGGGAATGAAAATAACAAAAGGAGCAAGGGATTCCAACTAGCCATGAATGTGAAATGGATTAATGCCATATCACACAAGTAGGGAGCAAACCAACCCAAACCAGGTTTATAAAAATCATCAGCTCCACATTAAACCCAGCCTCTACAAGCCAAAAGGAGGAATTGAAGGTAATTCAATGGAAGAATCAAATTAGATTCATGACATAAGGGGAGAAAGGCAAAAAAAAAAAAAAAAAACAACCGAGAATGAATCTTAGCTAAAAAAATTTGTTTAGATTCTAGGTTTGGTTGCGACAACCAAAAGAAGAAATACATTGCAAGACTGAGCGAGAAATTAAAAAACTGAGTCCAAACCGTAGGAACCAACCATGTATGGCGAGACCACTGTGCAATCTGCCAGACCACATCCAAACATATTAACCATAACCACAGCGGTTGAGCAGAAACTATTAGATATAAGATGCTCTTGTATGCTCTTGTCTTCTCTTAAAAGGGTTTACGGACATGAATGAATGGTAGTGATATTGCTAAAAAAAAAGTGATAATAAAAAAAATATTCAAGGTAATGGAACTTCCTAAGATCATTATTGGATAACTAAAAATCACTGGCCAGTGGATTTATTAAAGCCCAGACAGGCCCAAGATAGCTCAAAACTAGATCAACGAGTGATGGCCCATTGTGTCGTAACTCTTGATTGCTACAAATCTTCAATTCGCGCACCTGTAGATTCTTTTCTTTTCCCGTCAAACACCTTTCAATACTTGAGGTGACGTGGCAAATTCACAACCATTATTATATTTGATATACCGCTTTTACCCCTTAAGCCTCTCCGCGTAAAACCGAGAACAAATATCTTAAGCACCGTTGTTTTCGATTCAGAGATCATCATCATCGTCGTCGTTCAAAACCTTCATCAATGGCCGGGAAACTCATGCACGCTCTTCAGTACGACTCTTACGGTGGTGGCGCCGCCGCTTTAAAGGTTTTAATCTCTCTTTTCTAAATATATCCTCTAAGCTCTGTGTTATTGCGATTGGATTCTCTTCGTTTATCGATATCGTCTTGATTTCATGTGTATTTTGGTTTTAGTCAATGTTTTCTTCTCTCTGCCGATGTTTATTAGTGTGTCAAAATTTTCGTACGATGCGTTGATTTTGGAGAAACTTGGGAGATTTTGAAAAATCCGATGAAACAGAAACCACATGAACAGACCGATGTTTTCGTCATTTCGATTGGATTGTAGAGGCCACTAGATTACATGATGCATTGATTCAGAATGATTTTCTTCATTTGTGATGTTTCCATAGTCACTAGCTGATTTTATTTGGATCTCTTTGTTCTTGGAATCTATAGAAATTTTGAGTACAGAGAACACGCCTTTAAACCGGCAAATAATGTAAATGAGATTAGCTCAAAAGGAGAAAATTGCAGGTGATAGTTTTAACTAGGCTATGATTTGAATCACATTTGGGAAAGTGTCACTTATTAAGAGATTATTATGTGAAGTTAGTGTTCTCATGTGTGTATTTGTTTTCTGATTCAAAGGTAACATTATCTGTTTTTGTAGTGTTGTGTTTTTTTTTTTGTTTATGTGTATTGTGTACTCTTTTGATGATTAATACGTGGTTATCTGACTATGTTCTCAGCATGTTCAAGTTCCGGTTCCAACACCGAAGAGTAATGAGGTTTGCCTGAAATTAGAAGCTACTAGTCTAAACCCTGTTGATTGGAAAATTCAGAAAGGAATGATTCGCCCTTTTCTGCCCCGCAAGTTCCCCTGCATTCCTGGTATTTTAATAGCTTCGAAGATTTTAGTTTCTGTAGAGAAGAAAAAGGTTACTCTGCTTAGAGGTTGTTGAGGTTGGAACCTTTGATATTTGTTTTGAACAGCTACTGATGTTGCTGGAGAGGTAGTTGAGGTTGGATCAGGAGTCAAGAATTTCAAGGCCGGTGACAAAGTTGTAGCGGTTCTTAGCCATCTAGTAAGTTTTTACACAGACAAGCCATTGTAGAATATTGTAGCGATTACTCTTATTATCTTGGAACATGAAAAAGTAACTGTTTTGGTTGTTTTCAGGGTGGAGGTGGACTTGCTGAGTTCGCTGTTGCAAGCGAGAAGCTGACAGTCAAAAGACCTCAAGAAGTTGGAGCAGCTGAAGCAGCCGCTTTACCTGTGGCGGGTCTAACCGCTCTCCAAGCTCTTACTAATCCTGCGGGGTTGAAGCTGGATGGTACAGGCAAGAAGGCGAACATCCTGGTCACAGCAGCATCTGGTGGGGTTGGTCACTATGCAGTCCAGCTGGCAAAACTTGCAAATGCTCACGTAACCGCCACATGTGGTGCTCGGAACATAGACTTTGTCAAATCGTTGGGAGCGGATGAGGTTCTCGACTACAAAACTCCCGAGGGAGCTGCCCTCAAGAGTCCGTCAGGTAAGAAATATGATGCTGTGGTCCACTGTGCAAACGGGATTCCATTTTCGACATTCGAACCAAATCTGTCGGAAAACGGGAAGGTGATAGACATCACACCGGGGCCTAGTGCCATGTGGACTTATGCAGTAAAGAAAGTAACCATGTCAAAGAAGCAACTGGTACCGCTCTTGTTGATCCCAAAAGCTGAGAATTTGGAGTTTATGGTGAATCTAGTGAAAGAAGGAAAAGTGAAGACTGTGATTGACTCGAAGCACCCTCTGAGTAAAGCGGAAGATGCTTGGGCCAAAAGTATCGATGGCCATGCTACTGGGAAGATCATTGTCGAGCCATAAGAGCGTTTTTTGCCATCTTTGACTGTCTGTAATAATAGATGTTAAAAGTTTGTTTCCCGTTTACACATTACTTTATGTTGTTTTGTTTAATATACCCGAGTATGTCGAAAGTTATATGACAAGAAAATTTGGTATAGATAATACTTATTAGGTATTTTTGTTCTACCACATTGTTGAAGTTGAACCGACATTGAGCATGGAATCGAATTCTATCACATCGTTAAATTTTCAAAGGCTGGGCAATTAGGTATGGTTTCGTTTGACGTTTATGAGCTGTAAATCGCTCAGCATAATTTCAAACTTATTTTGATTTTTGGTTCGGTTTGGTGCTATGTTTTTCATTTTTTGAAGATTTGTTTTTTTAGATTTTAATTGGTTTATATCAAATAATTGAAGAATCTAACTAATCGAAATCTTATATATTAAAGGAGAAGTCAAAAGTGCTCACGTTCGCTCTCAGAATATGAGCGTACGTTTTTGCCCCCCACCCCCTTTAATGAGATTAAATTAGTAAAATTTCCATATTTTTAATTTAAAAAAAATCGAACATGTAAAAAAGGAAATATAACGTTTCGTTTTTCCAACTCTAATTGGGCGATTGGGCTTATATCTTTACAAAAAAATATGGCCCGTATAATTTACACCGTCATATGTAAAACCCTAAAACCTTATGCTGGAAATTCATATAAATATAGGATGCCTCCCTTGAAACTCAAACATCACGGCTTGATTTTTATGCATAGCAATTATGGTTCAAAATTGGTCCTTTCTATGATGCGTTGTCATCGATATTTTATTCTCCTTTTTATGTTATGGTTACTTGGAAAGTAAGATCTCATAGATCTTTGCCAATAGTTGATGAATTTCTTAAACGAAGTTTATATTTTGATCGATTACATGTTTTGCTTTTCGTAGTTGTTTGGTTTTATATGCGTGTCTATTATGTTATTAACTCCTCTAATAAGTTTATGTCACATCTTCATATCTCTTCTCTCGATCAAATCAATGGCCGCAACCACCTTTGTGTCTCTGCCTTCTCCTTACCAGTGACTATTTTTTTATTATTATTATTCAAACGTGATTATGGTTATAAATTGATGATATGAGCGTCATGATGAGTATATTGTTATGATTTTGCTTTTGATTATTTTGTTTGTGCATAAATCATGGTTAAACGCTAAACTCTTAATTAAGCGTCATGTTAACGCTAAAGCCGTATAAACCCTAACGAAGTCGGTTTTGTAATTGTTGACATCTCTTTAACCTGGTGGCAATGATAATGGGTAGTCATGCTGAACGTATTATTATTTTTGTTTGATTCCATCTTCTTTGAAATAACACAAGCTCTCTCTATGAATTCTAATCTTTTTAGTTATATTTAACATTTATATTACATTCTCTTTTTTTTATGACGTATTTACATTTATTTGATCTTTTCCAAACCTAAGGAAGTAAAAAAGAAGAGCAGGAGTATGCAGATCAGAGAACAAAAGAGAGAAGAAGAAGATAATGTTCTCGGCTAAATTCTTGCATGACAATCTGGGTGTGAGAATCATGTTGGTACCCTAGGGTGAATTTCTCTATGTAAACCCTCTAAACACTTTAATATAGATCTCTCTTAAATATACAAGAGATAATATGATGTTAGTGTTTGGAATTTCTTGGGAAAGTGTAAATTAATGGTACACGTTAGATCTGATTTTTTTTTTTTTTTTTTAATTTGAATATTCATCTCAAACTCAAAATAGAGAGAGGTAAACTTATCGATTAACCACATGTGTTAATCTAAAAGTTTCTTTATATTAATATTATATTTGTTTCTCTAATTAAGAATCAACAAAACACTGAAAACTTTGTATCTCCGGGAATTCAAGAGAGCTTGGATTGAAGATGGGTTTAAATAAATCATTTGAGGGGTTTAATAACCGATTTTGATCTTAATCTAAGTTAACTCAAAAAGAGTTTTGGAGTTCTAGAAAAGCTGTGTGAGAAGATTTTATCGAAAACCTTAATGATTTAGGCAACTAATAAAAGTATATATATTATCGTGTTAATATTAAACAAAGCAAACTGTTATAGATCTACCAACAGTTTATTATCTTATAATTAAATATCTTATCCGTTTGGAGTTATCTAATGATCGTTTATGAGAGGATTAATTCACAAATATTCTTAAACAGAAGACGCGATTATTAATAAATTATTACATCCATAAAGCTTATATACTAATAACAATTCGAAATACATCTATACTAGTATAATTGCAGCACTTTTTGTGACGGGTGGGTAAAAAATCTTATGGGTATATCGGATATCCGACCCGTTTTAAAAATTCCTTCACAAAAATAAACTTGGATCGGGTTAAATTAAACCCAACTCATACACCGGATATTCCATATTTAATAATTTAGATATTTAGAAGATTTGATTAAAATTTATAATTATGATTCTCCTATCATCTTTGTTTGATTTGTTTTTAACTGTTTTGAATCATCATATAATACATAAAGTAAAAAAAAAATCAATTTTTTTTCTGCATATACTGTGATTCGAAATTTAAAAAACGGACATATATTATCTAATTGACGAAAATGTGTGTTCAACGTTCTACATCGATTAAATTATTTAGACAATGATTCAGAATCGTATCATAAATTAGAACATTAATAAAATAAATGAGTTTTTTTGCCGGACGGGTTTGGCGGGACGGGTTTTTGAATCAACAATAATAAAAAAATTAAAATATCACTAAACCGCCGCTTCAATACGGATTAAATCTTCTTTTTTAATACCACAAATATTAGACATATTAAATCAGTCTCATTTAGAAAAGATTGTATAAAACCAAAAATTGTCCCGTGGTATAATGCCCCGTGGTCTTAGAGGATGATATGATTTGTAAACTTTTATATATAATAAATAATCATTAAATTTTAAAATAAAAACAAATCACGGGATGGGTTAAAAAATTACGGAACAGGTTATATTTCGGAAAGGATTTATATGGCGGACGAATTTGAATCAATATTTATATACCACTTTAGTACGGGTTAAATCCTCCGTTTATTAATAATTGTCTCGTGGACTCGTGGTATACTGTTACTTAATAAAAATTATAAACTATAATATAAATAAATATGTGATAAGGAGATACAATTTACAAAATATTTTTATACTAATTTTAAAATTAAATCATCCCGCGGTATACCGCGGGTTAAAATCTAGTATATAGATAATAAATTATCTAAATCTGGAATGTATCTATATCGTTGATATATAATTTGTATTACGTATATTTATAGATTTATATTTTCTTAGCAGTTGTATATATGAAACTGCCTAACTGAGAGGGATATGCTAATTTTATTGGTTTGATATTATCCACCGTATTGTTTTGTTTATTTTTAATCAATTATTAGTTACAATATCAAATTATTAAATTATTGGTATATTTATATTATTGTTAAACAATTCTATATCTAATCTTTTAAAAAAATGAGATAGAGTTAAATATCTACATTTTGATTTGAATCGTTTCTATAATTTCGTATTATTATTTTACATTATTTGATGTTATCCTATATATATTAGAAAAAAATAGAATAAAGAGTATCATGATAATTTCTTTTTATGTTTATTAACAAATCTATTTAGATTGATCTTAATATTGATATATACAAATATTGGATACTATTAAGCAATTTTCTGTTTTATCTTTCGAATAAAATAAGATAGAGCTATAAATTTACATTTATGATTTTACTTTTTCAGCAACTTTCGTGTTATTATTATATAGATGTATATATTATTCTAAAAACAATAGAATGTTTCTCTTTAGGATATTTATAAAATTAAATGACTCGATATAAATATTGATATTGACATTTAAATTTTTTTTTTTTTATAAATTCTTCTTACACTTTTATTATTTTAGGGTTTTTTTTCATGTATGTTATGCTAAAGAGTAATAGGATATTTTCCTTTTTAAAACCATTTAATAATTTCTATTGAAAAATCTCAATAATATTGGTAAATATGAATATTGGAGATAAATATAAATATTATATATTCGTAATATTCTTTTCCGTTTCGGTTGTTTATATGTATATTACGGTAATTTAAAATGTTATTTTTCCATATAAATATCGATTTACCATACACAACCCGTATTACCGACTTGGCATAATCGAGTTTTAGTTGATGGTGTAAGAATTCTTATTCGAGAATGATTATAAATCTCTTGAGATTCGTATTGTTCATAACAATTTAATGTGTGCTGATCTCTCTTACTTTGTTCAAATTATTTTGTAAGACGATGAGATACAAGATGTTTGATGACGTGTCACGATTGATTTCTTCCAAGGATGATTGGGTTATCCGAGTTAAGGTTCTGTGTCTATGGCAACAAAACTTATGTGGTCTTGGTACAAGTTTAGAAGTAATCTTATCTGATAGCAAGGTTTGTGATTTTATGTGTTATTCGTATAACCTATACTTTATAAATATAAAACTTATTGGATTTTAGCTCTTATTGATTTTTTTTTTTTGGAAGGGGTCGAAGGTGCAAGCTTCTTTTAGAGGTTGTGCTTACCATCGTTCGGGTGCTAAAATTACTTTTGGTGATTGGTTTGATTTTAATGATTTTAAAGTTTTGGAACAATATGGTTCGTGTAAGGCTACTGATCACCGATACAAAATAATTGTTTTGTATTCAACTGAAATTGTTATAGCGGATGTTATGGGAGATGAGAATTACATTGATTTCGTTGATTTTAGCAAGATAACGGATGGTGTTCATTGTGATGATTGCTTGGTTGGTAGGTTTTTTTATTAATACGCTTAAATATATTCTTCAAAAAACCAATCGAGATACTCACGTACGTATTTTTACATTTTTTAGATGTTATTAGGCAAGTCGTTCATGTTGGGGAATTTCCAACTTGGGATGGTTTGAATGTCTGTAGAAAAGGCAATGATTCGGACAAGGGTGATTCTCTACCAGAAAAAATTTCTATCTTCGAAGGTTGATTAAGATGTGTCTAAAACCCCCAAACGATATTAACAAAGATGCAAGTGCTGTGTTGTTAGATGATTATAACAGTGATAATATCGACGAGTTGGATGGTGACGGCGAATGTGGCAAAGAATCGTGTGCTGAAGACGTGGGTTATGTAGAAGATGATCCTGCTTATCAGATTGATGATGATGATGAAGTTGAGGACACAGATAACGACGACGAGTGCATTGTGAGTATCGAGGCTAATGGTTTAGAGCTAGGAGAAGACGAATATGATTTAGTAGAGGATTGTGATGAATGTGACTGTTGCGATGAAAGTGGCTATGAAGATGAGGAACATGAGGATTTATGTGAAGTAGAAGACGACGAATATGAGGATGGTGATGAAGATGATGAAGACGATGATGATGAGGGATGTAGTGAGATGACCGAGTCGAAGGAAGAGAGTCTCGACGATTGTGATTGTGAGACTGTCGAAAAACAATGCCCTGACAAAGTAGATGAGTATTCCATGTACCATAAAATATCTTTGACCTTCGTGACTCCATGTATATTGTTTACCTTTTATAAATGAATATGATAATATGTGTTCTACTTTAAAGTATTCACCGTATGTTTATGTTAATTTGTTGAAACCTAGGGGACCTCTTGATGACATGTCACGTTTAAATTCTACAAAATATGAATGGAGAATTCGAGTCAAGGTCTTGTGTTTATGGAAACAGAATTTCAGTGGGTTTGGTATGAGTTTAGTGATGATTTCTATCCGATAGGAAGATTTGCGATTTTCTAAAAAAATTTCTCTTCACTCGATTAATTAAAGTAGTGTTCACAAAGTTTTTGTTTTTTTTTTGTAAATGGTTCAAAGGTTGAAACTTCTTTGAGAGGTGGTGTTTATAATCGCTTTGTTTCTAAGATTTCTATTGGTGATTGGTTTCAGTTTGATTATTTTAAGGTTGTGGATCAGTTTGGCTCATCCAAAGCTACTAATCATCGATACATGCAACTAAGATTTCTAAAATGGACATTGTTGGAGATAGCAACTACTTCAATTTTGTTGATTTTACACGTCTTTGGGATGGTTTTAATTGCGATGATATTACTTGGTTGGTAAGTTTTCTTTTCTCTATAAATTATTTTTGATATATATGTTTTAGTTCTTTGTTCTCTAAATAAATTTCAGTTTTTGTTTTACGTAAAAATTAATTGTATAATTTTCTGAATGGTTTATTAGATGTGATCGGTAAGGTTATTAATATTGAGACTTGTGAGGAGGCTCCAAAGGATTGTGAAACGCACATAAAAAAAATACGAAGATGAATTCGTACCAAATCATTATTATCTCCGGATTTTACTCAAGAGGTGTCTAAAACCCAATTTGGATACTAACAAAAATGAAGATGGTGAGCTGTTGGATGATGATGACAGTGATAATGATGAGGATTTGGTTGGTGGAGAAGAAAGTGGAAAAGAATCAGGCAAAGACGAAAGTGCATGTGTGGAAGATGATAGTGCCTATGAAGTTGATGAGGACGAGGGCGACGGAGAAAACAAAGCCGAATGTGATCGATGGAAGTGGTGAAAATGATGACTGTGGACGTCGGATTCACACACTTGAATATTTGTTTATTTAGTGGGAATGATTATTCTTGAGGACAAAAATATGATAAGAAAAAGCTATGAATTGTAATGGAATGACTATAGTGTATTTGCTCGAAAAATTGCGTATCTCTTACATGACTATTAGCCTTTCTATTTATACTAACAAACGACATTTAACTCTAAATTAAATACAATTATTCTCTCTTAAATGTGTCCGTTTTGGTCTTCGAGTTTAATGCTTAACGTTTGAATTTGAATTGATTCTGATCTTCATGGGCTTCGCCTTTTGGCCCAAATTACGTTGAACCATCCTGACTTTGATTCCGGGTCATACCCCGAAATGGGACCACTTCGAGCTCCCTTCGTGATGATGCCCACTTCGACTATATCCTGTACACCTTGGGTTTAATGGGCCTTATCCTTTGCGGGCCTTCATCCTTTGCGGGCCTTCATCCTTTGCGGGCCTTCATCCTGACTACGTGGCGATCTTTGGTTGGTCCCGGTCTACCGGTGCGGGATCGGACACCAACAATGACTCTGAATCAAAGTGTGAGTAATACGATTTTGAGGAACAATGTGATGAAGGAGAGGAAGACGAAGACGATGAATAAGAAGAAGAGGATGAAGAAGATGCGAATTTCTATGAAGTAAAAGATGACGAGTATGAGGATGACAGGAAAGATGAAGAAGAGGAGGATGACGAGGAAGATGATTTGTATTTTGATTTAAGTTTTATTGTTGGTATTGTGATTTTCCCGTCTTTTTATTGTTTGTATTGTGACATGAAATATTCACATATTTTCATTAGGAAAACTATGTTTAATGTCCGGAGATGGGTGTTCAAGGTTTTTTTTTATATCAATCATGGATTTTTCGAAATTGAAAAGGATAGATTCATGTAATCTTCATTTACATATCACCAAAAAAATATGCTTGCTAAAATTCATCTTTAGTTTAACTATTGCTTTTTCCAAATAGGTTTGAATTTGCATCTACCCTTTAGTCGGATGGAAATCTCGGCTTTTAAGTTTGTTATGTTTTTTTCTTTTATTTTAGTGTGTTTTCAAGAATTTGAATAACTCTAAATTTGATATGTTTTCTTTTAAGTTGTAATATATTATTAAACATTGGGATGTTCTTATATGTGAGTTCTTTTATAATTTAGAATTAGAAATATTGAATAAGAAATAAACTCATTATATGTATCACCAAATTGAAAAGAATAATATTCAGAACGTGAAAAAAACTTGATTTATAAAAAGAAAAAAATTAATAATTGCTCTAAGTTGATAGTTCTTTTAAATCTATTGATTTTGTATTAACTTTTCTTATTATTTTATCATTTTTCTACTTCATAGTAGTTGATGTTTTGCAATGTTCTTAATTAATTGCTCTAAGTTTATAGTTATTTTAAATCTATTGATTTTGTATTAACTTTTCTTATTATATAAAGATTTTAAATGTGTTTTTATAATTTCATTTGGCCGCGCAATGCGTGGGTAACTCAGCTAGTTTTGAAATATACAAAATGTAATCGGACTATACCGAGTTTCCTTTAAAATTAATTTCTTTGATTAAAACCAAACAAAAGTTTTGAATAAAATTGCTTCAAACTGAAACGATTATCAAAACAAATTGAACCGATTTCTTTTGATTTTATTAGACAAAATTTTTCCCAAAACGAAGAACCAAGGAACTGAACCAACTAGCACAGAACTAACCGAAGCGATATGATGCTCAATTCGGTGTCATGCTCGTCCAGATATAAAAATAAATATGAAATTAGATATTTTTTATTAGAGAAAAAAATCAAAAAAATCTTGACTGTTAAAAAATACTAAAAACCCTTTGAATCGGATAAAATAATGCACTAAATTTTATTGACTTTTCATTTCATTCGTTAATTTTGATTGACTTTTCATTTTAATCGCTACATTTTGTTGATTTTGCCAAAAAAATCACATCGTTAAATTGCTAACAGAACAAATTATTTCCGTTGAGATTATGTATTAAACTACACAAAACAAGTCTTTTAGATTAAACATATGAAACTCAAAAATAATATTTGAACCTCTTATCTTCTAGATAATCCATAAATATATTACCCATCAAGTTAAGTTGATTTTTTTTTAAACCACAAACATCCATATTTATGTTCTTTAATATATATTCTCCAAATTACAAACTTGGGGCTAAATCATTATGAGTTACTCTCTCATCCTATTTGTTTTAGATTCTCTTTTAAAAATAAGACATTTTTGACATTTTTTATTTAGTAATTTAATAAACAACTACGTGTCCTAACTTTATAAGTTGACGAAAACTCGAGAATGAAGACATTGGTATATTTGAACATTATGATGTTTTTTTTATCTTTAGTGAAGCTATTTAATATTTCTGTATTGAATTTGTGTTGTTTTTTTTTTTTTAAATATAGTTTACTTGTCTCATTATAGTATTTTAAATTTTATTTATATCAAAGCCTGAAGGTTATCTCCATAACTGGATTTAGTTGACAAAAAGAAAAAGAAGGTTATCTGGATTGGACTCATTGATGAGCTAAAAATTTCGAAAATAAAACAAACCCAATAATTTCTAAAGCCCATTAACCCATTAATGACCTAGTCAATTCTTATCCTACTCCAATGGAATCTTCTGGTAAATACAACAGTAGTTCAAGGACATTTTCGTCATTTCCAAATTTGTCAAAAAACCACAATATTTAATATCACTATTAAGGGACCACCGTTCCCTTCCCCACCACAACCAAGCATTTTCCTCCATTTTTTTCTTTTCCCAAATTTATTTTAATAATAATATATCCAAACATTAATTTAAATAAAAAATCAATAATTATCCTCTTTAATATTTAATTTAATTTAATTAATTAATTTTTTATTTCCTTCCTTCTTCTTCTTCTTCAATTTTGTTTCCTTTCTTCTTCTCCCATGGCTTCCTAAGCAATCTGCTATTTCTCTCTCTCTCTCTTCTTCATCTATAGTTTATTCTCTTTTTTTTTTTGGGTTTCTCTTAATTTTATTTTTCCTAAAACATAAACGACATTGATGTATCGTATAATTTCTTCATCAGATCCTTTAATTCTTCTCGAATTCTGATTCTCCTTACATCAATGGTGAGGAACAATTCTACTTGATCTTCATAGATTTTGTTTGAATATTTTAGTTTTTTTCACCATTAATTCTGTTCAAATTCTTATAAAATTAATCAATTTTTATCCATAAAAAGTATTTAAAAAGAAGAAACTAATTATATAGATTATGTTTCTTCATGTAAGCTTTTTTTCTGGGTTTTTGTTTTCTTAAATCCGATTTGATTTGTTTTTGTTTATGTTTCTCAATTTTATCTCAATGAATTTCAATTTCAAAAAAATTGAATTTTAACTCTGCAAATTCTTTCAATTCTTTTTTTTTTTCCAGATTCTTAATAACCGATCTAGATAAGGTTAAATCATCATTATTCAAAACAAAAGATTTTGTTTTTTTTATACAGAATTTGATTTGATTAATTATTATTATTTTTTTTTTGCAGATAACTTCGTAGTTGGAGATTCGTTGTGGATGAAGATTATTGATTACTCTTTTATGTTTTGAACAATGTTGCTAACTTTTCAGATTCTTATAAGTAATCAGTCTTATGATGAGAAGTTGGTTCTTGATTACAATCTTTATTTCATACTACAATCAACAAGTAAACCGTTTATGCAATCTTGTGACGGTTCTTGTGTTCAAAGAGTAGATACTTGTTCTTCAAGGTGGAGGTTATTAGAGGTCAATTGACGGAGTTTTTAAACGTTGTTGTATCGCCCGAATAAACGGAATAATGGAAAGGTTTGTTCTTGTTCTTGTGTTGTTGCTTCATATATTGGACTTGTTTGCGAGAAAGTGATGAGCTTTGTGCTTTTTGTTCGGTGTAGGTATAAGATTTTGGAAGAGCTTGGTGATGGTACCTGTGGTAGTGTATATAAAGCTGTAAACTTGGAAACATATGAAGTTGTAAGTTGTTGAAAGTTTATCTCTTTCACTCAGCTAGTGTGTTGCTAATACACCTTATGTTACCTCAGGTTGCTGTTAAGAAGATGAAAAGAAAGTTTTATTATTGGGAAGAGTGTGTGAATCTGCGAGAAGTAAAGGTGCGGTGACTCAGTAGTTTACTTTCTATAACCTCTATGTTTGTGTTCGAGGATGATGATGTATTTTGACGTTTGTAGGCTCTTCGTAAGCTAAATCATCCTCATATCATAAAGTTGAAGGAGATAGTGAGGGAACATAATGAGCTGTTTTTCATCTTCGAGTGCATGGTAAAGGCGATCTCTGGTTTCTTATCCTCTGTAGGATATTTTACTCTTATGTTAGAGAATATATTCTCATTGTTCTTGGATAATGATTTGACTAGGAGCACAATCTGTACCATATAATGAAAGAAAGGGAACGACCTTTTTCTGAAGGAGAAATAAGGAGTTTTATGTCGCAGATGCTGCAAGGGCTCGCACATATGCATAAAAACGGTTATTTTCATCGAGACCTGAAACCCGGTATGTTTTTTCCACTTTATACTATTATTACTTCATGCTAATTGAAATGGTTTTTGTTATTTGAATGTCTTAACAACAAGTTTTGTTCTGTCTCTGAAGAGAATTTGCTGGTGACCAACAATATCCTGAAAATTGCTGACTTTGGGCTCGCTAGAGAAGTTGCATCTATGCCTCCTTACACTGAATATGTGTCCACACGTTGGTAAGTGATTTCTCTTTGATATAGCCTTTGCATTCATGCATGAATGTATGTGGTATCAGGTAATAGATAGACTAAATAACTTATAATTGGCTCTGATTGCAACAGGTATCGAGCTCCAGAAGTTTTGCTACAGTCTTCATCATACACTCCTGCAGTTGGTACGTTTGTGAATTCTTTTTGTGCTGCATCACATTTCAGTATCATGTCAAAAGTCTAGCTGAATCATGGCTAATATTTAAAAGAACTGCAGACATGTGGGCAGTGGGGGCGATATTAGCTGAGCTTTACGCTTTATCTCCGTTATTTCCTGGTGAAAGGTGAATTCTTTTCCCTTTCACTTTGACCAAACATAATCTGCGCGTAGTTTTCTTGCGTTGATAATTTTTTTTATCGCTGTGTAATTGGTTGCTACTTAGTGTTCTAAGCTGAAGTGATTCTATCAGTACAATGAATTCTAATACTGCATTTTAGCTTGTATGGTCAAATCAGTGTATACACTTAAAAATAGACCATTCAGTGAAATCTGATGTAATGATTTCCTTATGAGCAGTGAGATAGATCAATTATACAAGATCTGCTGTGTTCTTGGCAAGCCAGACTGGACCACCTTCCCTGAAGCGAAAAGCATATCTCGAATAATGAGTATTAGTCACACAGAAGTAAGAGTTCTTAATGAAAAGATAAGTTGCTTAGTATAACTAATTGTACGTAAATATTGACGTTAGTCTTCGAATTTCTTGTGATAGTTTCCGCAGACACGAATTGCTGATCTACTCCCCAATGCTGCTCCTGAAGCTATTGATTTGATCAATGTGAGTTCTTGTGTTCACTCTTCCTGTGGATATGTCTTACCATTCTTCAGAAAGTTATTATCTTTCAATATCTTGATTTCCTATATCATTTGTATCTGTTTTGAATCAACAGCGACTTTGCTCGTGGGATCCATTAAAACGACCAACTGCTGATCAGGCACTAAATCATCCGTTTTTCAGTGTAATTTGAAAATTGCTTTGCTTCTTTTGAATCAATCTCACACACTCTCTATATGTATAATCGAAAATGTATTGATCTATTCTGAACAGATGGCTACACAGGCTTCATATCCTCTCCATGACCTTGAGCTGAGGCTTAATAACATGGGTGAGGCTTTTTTCTTCATTTCTGCTTCATGTGTGCTGCTCATGACCGCAAAAGACCGCAAGAGTAATTCCAATTAAATTTGTCGTATTCTGCAGCGGCAATGCCTAATCTCGAGCTAAATCTCTGGGACTTTAATACTGAACCTGAGGAATGTTTTCTTGGCTTGACACTGGCTGTAAAACCAAGTGCTCCTAAACTGGGTAAGTAACTAAGCATCATTCCTTCGTGTAGAGTGGGTCACATTATTTGACACTAGTTGACATTGCAAGGATTCAAATCTTTGTTTTGCAGAAATGGTGCGGAATGTATCTCAGGACATGAGCGAGGTAAGCTTAGACGCAATGAACATCACTTAAAATAGGATTGTTAAACCTCGTATGAGTTGTAATGAATCCAACTGAATTTATGGTTTACAAATGCAGAATTTTCTCTTTTTCCCCGGGGTAAACAATGATCGGGAACCATCAGGTGATTAGACTTACACATATGATAAACTGCAGATTCGGTTATATTTCTCTGGGAATAGTTGTCAAATATCTCTGTTTGAACATTTACAGTTTTCTGGTCTATGCTCTCTCCTGATGAAAATGGCCTCCACACTCCAGTTGAATCATCTCCTTTATCTCTGTCCTTCAGGTGAGGTCAAGTCGCCTCTATCGATCCATTGAAGTTATGTGTCGACAAAATGCCTATCAGTTTTTTTTGTTGTTGTTTTGAGCAGTCCAATGCAGCATCACACAACACTGGGACCTCCGCAGTCGACAGGGTTCACAATGACATCATCAGTGCAACCGAATATGTTGGACCGCCCGTGGATGGCTGTGTCTGCGCCATTTCAACAAAGTCATTACCTCTGATCTAATAAACCCATACCCTAGTAAAAAAGTAAATAACACAGAGGTTTGTCAGAAAGATTTGAGTTAAACAAGATAGGAAAAACAAAACAGAGGAAAGTTGTTAGATTTTTCATTTTTGTCACCTATTATTGGTTCTTAACTTGTAAAAATTGGGTTTGGGTGATGCAATTTCTTCTCAAAGCTTGAGCTAAATCATATCAAACAAATAATCTCCCAATTCTCTGTATAATATATGAAAAAGAGAGAAATTTGCTTGTTTGTCTTTTTTTTTTTCTGATATCAGAAGAGTTTGTTAACATTATTGTTGGAACTCATAATAACCAAACCAATCATTCAATCCTTGATGTGGCCTAACCATAAATAATTATGTAATCTTTTTCAATACATTTTTTTATTTTTTTCGCCTTATCTTTTTCAATTCATTAATGTTGGTTCGATCGTCTTTTAATTTAATATAAAGTCTTTAACTTGTGAATCTGTCTTATCTTGACGAAAATTTAAGAATATATTTATGTTAATTACGCTACTTATTTTAATCTCTCTTTGTTTGATGTGAAATTTATTCCATAATTAGTAAAGAGAAGAAGTCCAACAAACAAACCAAAAGATATTGAAAAAAAAAAGAAAAAAAAAGTCACTTTGGAGATGAAACAGAATATTAAAAGATTCTTTAAATAAACTTTTATCAAAACAAGATTCTGAATTTTTTACTAAGTCTTCTTGAGAAATCTCTAAAACGTAGAACAAATAAGAAACCTTGTAGCCATGGGTGGTGATACTTTCAAAGATGGTAAATTTCTCTATATTTTTCTTGTTTCTTGAACTACTGTGTTTGCATGTTTGATTTAAAGAAAAATAAATGGTTTTTAAGATTTTGTAGATGAAGAATCTTCAAGATCATCATCATCTCCTTGTTCTTGTTGTTTCAGGTAAATATTATTATTTAATCTATATCACTAACTTTTATTGAGTAATGATCATAATCATAATCAAGAAAGTGATGATGGGTTGTTTTTTTATGTGGTAGTGATGATTTAGGGTTTAAGGATGATGTTTCTGAAGATAATTTCGCAAATTTCTCTAATCATGTTACTGATTTGAGAAGAAGAGAAAAAACTTACCAAGAGATTCTTCAAAGTCATGATCTTTTGCTAAGAAGCAGCAAACGGAAACTTAGACAAGCCAGAAATGAAATCTTGAGGTTTTTTTTTTATTCATTTCAATTAGGGAAAAACTGTGGTAGTTCTAATTAGTGATCATACAAATTGAATAATGATATTATGTTTGTGCCTATTATGGTATAATAATGCATAGATATACTCCTGGATCATGGTCTGATGTGAAATTGAGCGATTACGATGTTCCAAAGATGACATCGATCATGCTAGTTGGTCCGAAAGGGGCCGGAAAGAGTAGCCTTGTTAATAAGATTTCAAAAGTGATCGAAGACGACGAGTTTTTCCCAGCTAGAGCTCAAGAATCATGTAAAGTATATATATGTTTGATTTAGTTTCTATTTAAAGGTGAGATTAATGATGTTTTGTGCTCTCGAATCGCAGTTGGTACGCAGTCTAAAGGAGGAACATTCTTTGTTCAGGAATATATGATCCCAAGAGGAGGTTCTGCTTCCTTTTGCCTATATGACACGCGTGGCTTAAGCCATATCTCATCATCTGATAACACTCGTATGATTGAGCAGTGGATGACAAAAGGCGTGCATCACGGCGAACCTGTCATCTGGTTTCGATTCTATCTTGATTACTCTTCTTTAATCAGTTTTGTTTTGGTTACCTTACTGAGTTTTTATTTTCTTAGGACATCTGATCGCTCGGATTTAAAGGATAGACTCATCCGAGATGGTGGTACCGGTTATGAGAGAAGGAAAGTGAATTCCGTTATCTTTGTTATTAATGCGGTTGAAATCTTGAAATCGATGGAATGTGAAACAAGCTATGCTCATATGATATCCACGGCCTTTAACTGTCCGTTACTATCATTTAAAGGTTGGTTAGTCCATTTGAATAAACTTTAATTCTCAAGATCTTTTTTTTTAAATCTCAAAGAACTTGAATATGGTTTGCAGATGACAAGCCAGCAGTAGTTATGACTCATGGAGATATGCTTTCACTAGAGGACCGTGCTCGAGTTCGAGTTTTCCTTGGAGAACTTCTTGGTATCCCACCTGACAAACAGATATTCGACATTCCAGGTCACAAAACCATTTCAAGCACATTTTTCAGATGGTTATACTTCTTCTTGGTAATTGAAATGAATTGCATAAGCGTATGTTTTATAGAAAGCCGGGACACAGCCACAGCGCTAACAGTCTGCAACTTGCTATGCCAGTCTTGACCATGCTGATAAGAATTTTGTGTTTCTTCCCAAAAGGAACTTCACCATATCAAAGGTTTCTGCTTAATCTTTAGTTCTTACCTCTAGATTTCAAAACATGATCTATCTGATAGATGGTTAGATCGCTTTCTTTTTCGGTTTGTTTTGGACCGGTTTAATTGATCCAGATTGAACAGCTATAGGAGACCATATATCGCAGTGAACCGGTTTAAATTTGGTGAATTAATTATTATTCTTTTTTTTTTATTAATTTGTGGGGGTGATCTAATTAATTTCAGGTTGGAGGAGGCCTCACAAAATGGATCATCTTATTAGACATAATATCAATTGCTCTGATTTTATTCATGGCATCATTGGCTTCAATCTGGGTTGTTACTCATAATCCCGTAAGCGGCCAAAAATTAGCGCATGAGGCTGAGGACAAACTGCTTACATTTCCAAGTCCACGGTTAAACAACCTCACACATGAGGCCCAGCCGATACGTCGCATAGGGCCTCAGCGGGTCATTGGAGGTCCAATCCTTGCATGCGCTCAACATCCTAAGTCTGAGTCTGTGCCTGAAAGTGAGCATAGCATTGATTTGCATATAGCCCAACGCTTATGGTTCGACGAAGGTAAAGTGACCGAGGTCGAACCAAGCTTTGATTGGCGAACAACTCGACGCTTGTGGTACGTTGAATGAAAATGTATGCGAGCGTTAACATCTTTATATGCTAAAATAAAGTTTGGTAGTGTGGAAACTAGTAAATATAAAATAAGATGTTATTAAAAATTGGACCGCATAAACTGTAAGGTCATGGATTGGTTTGGTTTTACCGGTTCAATGGGATTCACTTTATATATAGTAATGAATAACATGATGAGGATTGTTATATTTATTCTTACTCTTGCAAATTTGTGTGGATATTCACGATTAAATAATTTTATCAAATACAATAAAGAGTAAAAAGAAACCAACATGAATCTCAAAGAACACGTTATGCCTTAAACCAGATTTGTCCAATCTCATTCTCATTAGAATCTAACCAGCTGGTTATGTTTGACCGTACCAACGACATGAAACCAATAATGAACCGTATACCAACGAACTAAAACCTAGATTTTTTGATAGTGAAGAAGATTGGACCAGATCGGAGACGTAGCTTGGAGGCAAACAAAGGTCGTGATTCTCGAAGGCTAGAGGCTCTGTTCCACAACTATCCGTCCAAAACCTGCAACTTCTCCCATTACATACTACTAACTTTTTATCCAAGGGTTTGCAATTTAATAAGGTCAGCTTTTTGTACAAATGTAGTAGACTCAATGTTTATTGATCGAGAAGAAGGAAGTTTAGGTGATACTTATAGCTAGCCCCGAGATTGTTTCAAAATCGTTTTTAACACCTGAAGAGCATTAGATACAGAAACCGCAGATCCTTGTAGGAAAATGAGTAAATCATCTGCAAAGACATAGGTGTGTTAGTTTAGAGCTTTCACAAACTGCAAGAAACAGATACAGGGTGAATGCTGGAGTACAGAGACATGCTTCAAGCCATCTAAGGTTAGATTCTGGCACTTGTAGACCTCTTAGACAGAGGAATATGAATTCCCACTTACTGTATCAAATGCTTTAGCAATGTCAACTTTACTAGTTATTCTATAAGCAGGGGTTTTAATCTTGGGACAAATGACCTTATAAAGAGTGTTACACAAGGAAAAAATTGACACTCGTGGTTTCTTTGGCAATAAGGTAAGAATGGTGGAGTTTATAGCAGTCAGCATAATGGATGTTCTGAAGAAGTGGAGAGTTCCTGAGGTAAGTTCATCTGGACCAGGTGAAGGATCTGATCGAGTTTTGAGAATTCCTTGACTCTGCTATGATATCCTTCCGCTAGCCAATTTATCCTTGATCTTTGTCTCAAATAGGCCTCTTCTATGTGTTTCAGGTACTCCAAGTGGTCATGAGTACTTTCTTGCTTATGGAAGGGGCATTTAGAGCTTGTATCTGCACAACAATTAACAACCCGTTAGTCACTCTCACTCTCCTTTGTATATCAGAAAATTGTCTTTGTATTTTACTAATGTTAAGGCACAGAATCTCATCTAATCTCATTGTATTGGACCCTTAGAATCAACTTAATGAATGAATTATGAGCCCAAGCCCATCTAATTCAATCTCTTTCATACATGGTGGTTAGGATGGTGTTAGTGGATGCTACATTTTTAGTATAAAACAAGTTCTTTTGTAGCTAAATGCAGAGAAAGAGAGAGCAGAGAGGAACAAAAGGAGAGCATTGGATTTGAAGATTTCTTTTGTGCAAAAGACTGAAAGGTTACCTTCTCACCCTTCTCTTCTTAATAGTTGATATTCATCTTCTTCTTTGTTTTCCTCTTCCATTTATGTTTTCATGTTTTAGTTCTTTCTTTTCCCTTGTTTTTCTTCTTCCATGTTTTCTTTTCCCTCAATATCTATCTTGTTTTTCTTCCTTTTCAACTTGTGTTTTTCTCTGTTTTGCTTTTCAACTTGTGTTTTTTTCTGTTGTGCTTTCCTATGTTTTCATCTTGCATTTTTCCAGTTTAACTCTTTAACCGGTCTCTGTTTTTTCATATCCCCTAAAGCTTTGATTTTGACTCAGTGGGTTTGGTTTCTAATGAGTTTGTGTACAATGGGTGTGTTTAGTTTTGTCTTAGTTGATTCCACTTGTGCTATCCTCTGTTTTCGTCATGCATTTTTCCCTTTTTTCCTCTTCTAATTCTTCTCTTTCCTTTGTTTCCATGTTGATCGGATTCACCCACTTCATTTTCCGTATTCCTAAGGATGAATACGAGAGAATGTTGAAGAAGATGGATGAGCTCTTTTTCCGTGTCGTCTCAGTTCTGATCGCCTTCTTGGCTCTGAGAGGACCGGCGAAAGACTCTGCCTCCAAGGAACTTGTCCAAGCCATGGGCTTCGCTGGTGAATTCTTCCCATCTGCTTACTTGGCCGTTGCTCATATCATCTTAACCTTTCTGGGAGCCTTCTTTGGAGCTTACTTCAACGACTTTAGGTACTTTGATGAAGCTGCGATAGTCTCCGGATTTGCCATGTGTTTCTTTCTCGTGCTGGAACTTTATTCCCACTAATTTCATGCAGTTCCTCCGGTTCTTGTGGGGTGAAGTATTGGCATTCTCGGAAACGTTATGGTAGAAGATTATTATTGCAATTGCTACGTTGACAATCGTTGCAATAGTAGTAATTTACGTTTACATCTAAGTTTCTTGTTTTAAGTATCTCATGCTAAGAGTAAAAAAAGAACTATGTCCTTCTCATTATCCATTTAATAAAATAAGTTTTATTATGTTCCCAGTACTACATGAAAAACTACTTAAATCAGTAGAGCCACAAATTTTACAATGTAGGGTTTTGTGCAAAAAACTCTCCAACTTGTCTATTTTTGCAACTTTATCATTCATCTCCGAAAAATGCAGATTAATTTTATGAAGTCTAAAATAATATGCAATATAATCCTTATACGTATCTTGTAAACGTATTTTCGGTCAAATATATTAGTTTTTTTAAAATATTAAAAGTAGAGTTGAACTCTTTATCGCGAGAACTTCGATTTGACATATTATTTGTTAAAATTTTACGAACTTGAACAAACTTGACGGTAACGAATAATTAAGGGTTATATTACGTATTATTTTAGACTTCATAGGATTAATATGCATTTTTCGGAGATAAAGAGTAAAGTTGCAAAATGGACGAGTTGGAGACACAAAACCCATAAATGTAACACAAAACAGAAAAGTAGAAAAGATACAAGTGTTTGTCTTCGTAAAACCCAAAATTTTAACATTCTTTTTCTAAATTTAACAATTAAGAGAGAGAGAAAATTATTAAAATTTCACGGTCTTAAATGGTTTTGTGTCTAAAGAATCTTGAAAATTTTAACACTCATTATCTAAATGTAACAATTAAGAGAGAAAGAGAAAAATTATTAAAATTACACGGTCACAAATGGTTCTGTGTCTAAGGAATCTTGAAAATTAGAGACTCACCATCAATAAATCATTAGACAACTCAGGGGATGTGCCTTTATTCAAGGGGTTAAGTCCATTTGACTCTGCCTTCCCCACTGGAATTCGACTTCACTAAGTCGTGATACCCTGCGTAGTAAAAATTGGCTATAGATCGGGTCTTGTCGATCCAAAGGATGTCAAAAAACAAAACATCATAGACAACTCATTTATTATAGGATTGACAATTTGAAATTTCCCTAGCTTTTTCTTTCCTAATTAAGTTTACCTTTTTTCTCATACATGCATCAAAAATATTTTTACCCGAATGAATTTGCTACCAATTTGCTACCAAAATACATAGAAAATGCATGGATAAGATTTTTCTTTACCTATTTTAAAGTATTATTCTAAGGGATGATCTTTTATTTTTAGGTTTTTCCTTCTTTTTTCTTTGCTTGCTTTTTTTAAAGTTTTTTCTACCCAATATGATGTGGTTATAATTTAGTGTAGAAAAATATCTTGTGAAACTCTAAAGAATGAAAAAGTTATATTAACATTGATATCTCTCTCATAATTAATAACTCCTCTTAATACTTTTTATATATAAAAAAATAACTACTCTTCCATAAAAAGAAGTTAACATTGAAAAATAACCAAGAGAGATATATAATAGGCCCATCAAAATTCTAAACAAAGCCTATTAGACCATAAGTATCGCAGCAACACAAGTAGTGTTCTTAGGCATTAAAAATTTGAAAAAATTCAAACAGTAGAAGACGAACCTGAATTGCGATCTTCTGCAAGATCTGTTCTAATACAAGTTATGAGCCACGTGTCTGAAAAGTATTGGTTCCATAATTTCCTCTCTTCCTTCTTTTTTTTTTCTTCTTTTTCTTCTCTCTCTTAATAAATTCATTCAGTTACTAAAGCAATATTTATTATTAAAATAATATTAACATCTGTATTGAGAGTTATGCCGATACATATGCCCTTAGAGTATGCTAAAATATATGGACATAGCATGGACAAAATACATTTTGACGTTAACATACATTTTTCTTCTAGGCATTTCTTCTCAATTTTATATACTTCATTTTTGGTGTATGCTTAAAATATATGGACATAGCATGGACAAGATATTTATTTGATTTACTATGTGAAATGTCTTTAGGGTTTCTCACTAAATATGATATGGTTATAATTTTTTTTGATATGGTTAAAATTTAGTTATAAATACAGTAAAATCTCTATAAATTAATACTCGATAAATTAATAAAATTTTCGGATCCTGAGTTGGGACTAGAGTAAAAAATGACACAAATCGATAAATTAATAAGATAATAAATTTTTTAAAAATTATATGTAAACATATGGTCCCATCAATATCATAAATTAATAATTGTATAAATATATATATATATATATATATATATATATATTATATGTAAAATATTTAGTAAAATGTGTATATAGTATATTGTTTTTTTTAATTTGTATTAATTCTTGGTAGAGTTCAATTCTAATATTTTTACTACATCTTAAAAAGTTTTGTGTTATTTTCTACGCTTGAAAATTTTATTTTCTACTTGTAATTTATTTTAGAAAGATATTGATTACTAGGATTATACCAGTGCATTTGATTAATATAAATATAAGAAAATGAAAACCAATTTTTTCAGAATATTGTGGAGGACGGTAAACAGAATTTGAACAGAAGTTTAGCTAAACAGTTGTTTCTAGCTTTCTATGTTTTTCAAGTAACTAAGGAAGGCTTTAAAGACTCTCAATACTCTTCACATGGCATAGGATATGGAAGGAAAGGAGCAGGCCTAGTATGGCCAAAACCTTTATATCAGCCTAAAACAGCTTCTAAGGTGATGGAAGATACCGAAAAGGCTGCCCAACCTCCTAAGGAGCCGGAATTAGGAGATGAACAGACTGATATGGTAACGGAAGATGTGCCAGTGATGCAAGAGAAGAATCCCGCTGAGGGTTTGTTTTTCTCAGAAAGCACTGACGATCTTCTAGAGGATGGAGAATGTCATGTTGGTGAGGATATTGACACTCAGGTTACGGATGAAGAAATGTTGGAGGGAGAGGGAAAGGAGGGCTCTACAGAGGAAACAAATGTTCCAAAAGGTATTTCTCAAATTTCTAATGAGTTGCCTGTTGATAAGGTTAGTCGGGGTTTTAATCGCATTAGTCTTGATAGTAATAATACTCAGAAAAATAGAATATCAAGTTCACATGGAATTAAAGGAGGAAAAGGTAGTAAAAATTATGCAATGATTGTGGCTTCACCAGGGAAAAGACTATTGTCTAAGGTAATGACTCTTAAATCTACAGGTGATGCACAAAAACAGAAAGCTGTGGGCAAGATGAAACCAAAGGATGGTGCAAAAACGGTTGGTGCAAATCGGTCGTCGAAGAAAGGGATGGTGGCGCTCCTGAAACCACCGACTAATACGTGAAAGACTTAAGCTGGAACTGTTAGGGAATAGGAGCTGACCTGACAGAGAATTATTTAAGGGATTTATGGCGTAAACATATGCTAGACTTATTATTTTTATCAGAACAAAAAGATGTTTTTCTTATTTACAGAAATTCCAATCTCAGTTTGGTTATAATTGTAACGCCTCGACCGACATCTCTCTTAATGGGCCCCACGTCCTCTCTCGGACCGTGGGTCCACCATCTTCCGACGGCCGGTTCGTTACGTCTGGGAGGCTTTAAAGACTTTTTTACCGACCCTACAAATTACCACATGATCTTTCCCTATGTTTTGTCCTCACTCACACAGTTCCGACAATCACTTCCTGGAAGATCACCCATCCTGAAACTACTCCAGCCCAAGCACGCTTAACTGTGGATTCTCTCAGAACGGTTGACCGAAAAGATAAGTGCACTTTGGTAACATAGGTGGCCAAATAAATTCTTTTAAACCTCTCCGCCTAAACCGAGGTGTTACAATTCACCCCCACTAACAGATCGTTGCGCACCAAGACCGTAACCCCCGACGGTGTGAGTCCTCTTGACTCCACACTAGACTGGGTTCGGCTCTGATACCACTTGTAACACCTCGACCGCCATCTCTCATAATGGGCCCCACGTCCTCTCTCGGACCGTGGGTCCACCATCTTCCGACGGCCGGTTCGTTACGTCCGGGAGACTTTAAAGACTTGTTTACCGATCCTACAAATCACCACATGATCTTTTCCAGTGTTTTGTCCTCACTCACACAGTTCCGACAATCACTTCCCGGAAGGTCACCCATCCTGAAACTACTCCAGCCCAAGCACGCTTAATTGTGGAGTTCTCTCAGGACGGTTGACCGAAAAGATAAGTGTACTTTGGTAACATAGGTAGCCAAATCAATTCTTTTAAACCTCTCCGCATGCACCACTATATTCCTGAAACCGGGGTGTTATAATAATAATTTGTATTCAGTTGACCCTAGCGGTGCTAGTGGAAGCTTAGCTTTATTTTATAATAATGAAATAAAACTAGAGATTCTTTTTGAAAGCAATCGGATTATTGATGTTAAAGTTTTATTTGGGAAACAAATAGTTTTTATGTCGTTTATTTATGGTGAACCTGTAGCCACAAAACATGATATTGTTTGAGAAAAAATAACACAGTTGGGTTTAAACCGGAAAAAACCTTGGCTAATGATTGGTGATTTTAATGAGCTGACTGGAAATCATGAAAAGACAGGTGGTAATTTAAGATCAGCTGCGTCTTTTATTCTTTTTAATCTTATGATTTGACATAACTGTATGTTAGAATTTCCATGTTATGATCAACAATTTTCATGGAGAGGCAATAAAAACCAACAGATTGTGAGATGCAGGCTTGATCGGGCACTCGGGAATGAGGATTGGCATCACTTATTTCTTTTTTCAAAAGTGGAATATCTGGATATGATTGGATCTGATCACAGACCGATTCGGTTGTGTTGTGAAAATCTTTGGCTAGAAGGAAACAACAATTTCGATTCGATAAGAGATGGGTTGGGAAGGATGGTCTTAACGAGGCCATAGACTCAGGATTGAATTGAACAAGAATTTAGAATTCCTGTTTTTGTGGATAAAATTAAAAATTGTAGAAATTCAATTTCATGGTGGAGGAAAAATAATATCCCGACGGGGCATGCAAATATTTCTTCCCTTAAGTTGGCTTTGGAAGAAGCGAAGAATGATGATTCGATTCCGCAAGAGGAAATAAGAAGTATCGAAAATAAATTAAAGGAATCTTATCATGAGGAGGAAATTTATTGGAAATAAAAGAGCATAAATTTTTGGTCAAAGGTGGAGGATAAAAATACCAAATATTTTCATGCTTCTACAAAAATAAGATGGGCAAGAAATAAAATTTCAGGTTTATATGGACCTAATGATGTTTGGGAGGAATCAGAGAGAGGGATGGAGGAGATAGAAACTAATTACTTTAAAGAACTTTTAAAGGCTTCCAATACAAATGGTATCGCTGAAATGGTAAATGAAGTGTCCCCAGTTACTACGAAAAGTATGAATAATGAATTAACCAAGGAGGTCACCGAAACAGAAGTTAGGAAAGCTTTATTTTCTATGCATCCAAAAAAAAACACCAGGCCCAGATGGTATGACGGTTTTATTTTATCAAAGGTTTTGGCATTCCTTAAAGGACAATTTGGTAGGGCTGGTCAGAGAATTTTTCTGAACTGGAAGTTTTGATAAGAGAATAAATGAAACAAATATTTGTTTAATCCAAAGACGGAAAGGCCTAAGAGAATGGCAAAGTTTAGGCCAATAAGTCTCTGCAATGTGAGTTATAAGATAATTTCCAAAATTCTTTGCTTGAGGCATAAAAAGATTCTACCTAGGCTAGTCTCTAAAACACAATCGACTCCTCCCGAGTCTCGGCTCTCATCTTCGGGTGCTGGAGCTCTTCTGGCAGCAGAGCTCCCCCAAACTATTCCGAACTCACCCCGAGCTATTCGAGCTCCCATGGGCTATTCGAGCTCCCCGAGCTACATCGAGCTCCCCGAGCTCTTGAGCTTTCTCTCAAGCTATTCCAAGCTACTGAGCTTCTTCAGCTATACGAGCTCCTCTCTGAGCTATACGAGCTCCTCTGGTAGCAGAGCTCCCCCGAACTATTCCGAAATCACCCCGAGCTATTCGAGCTCCCCTGGGCTATTCGAGCTCCCCGAGCTACACCGAGCTCCCCGAGCTCTTGAGCTTTCTCTCAAGCTATTCCAAGCTATTGAGCTTCTTCAGCTATATGAGCTCCTCTCTGAGCTATACGAGCTCCCCTCTGAGCTACTTCTCTTCTTCTTGATAAGGCTCTTATTTATACTAGAACCAAGCTTTTCCTAATCTTATTATGATAAGAAATTCTTCCAAACTTTATCCAACTTGACATTATTTGTATTTTCTTTCTTGAATTTCCTTTCTTCTTTTTTCCTTTCTTCTTTTTTTCTTTCTAGCAACTTCTAGAAAGAAATTACTTGCTCCTCAAGTAAGTTGGAATTATCCAACAGACTCCAGCACAAAAGATAATCAAAATATCAAAGTATGTTATGATGAGTCTAGTAGTTTAAACCCCAAACAAAAAAGAGAAATCTTATAACTATTGATTACTAAAATTAGCACTATTTGCCACATGAAAAAAAAGGATACCAAAAGAAATAGAAAAAAATCATGGCATATTTGGAATAACTGATAGAATTGAATTTTGGATTTTATTTAAGAGTTGGCAAAAACTTTGAAAATCTAGGTTCCCAAATATATAAGAAAATCACTTGTCTCAAAATCTTTAGGGAGACTCACAAAAATGCCCTTTTTTCAATACTCCTTTTTAAAAATGCCCCCTTTGGCTGTCCATTTTTAAAAATACCCCTTTTTATGTACAAAATGACTAAATTACCCTTCTTTTAATAAAAGATATCACAAATATATAAGGAAAACATGAGAATGTGCACACATCAAAATTACAAATTTGATTTTGTAAAAACTTGTAAAACCTTTAAAATACCTTGTAAAATTTTCCCGTAAAAATTTTTCCCGCCAAAAAATATTTTTTGCGGGAAAAGTGATTCCGCAATTTTTTTGGCGGGAAAAATTTACAAGGTATTTTAAAGGTTTTTTACAGGGTATTTATAAGGTTTTACAACGTATTTATAAGGTATTTATAAGATATTATAAGATATTACAAGCTATTTTATAAGGTTTTACAAGTTATAAGGTTTTACAAGTTTTTTTATAAGGTTTTACAAGTTATAAATACCTTATAAAACCTTATAAGTATCTTGTGAAACCTTTTAAAATACATTGTAAAACCTTATAAAACACTTGTAAATACTCTGTAAAACCTTTAAAATACCTTGTAAATTTTTCCCGCCAAAAAAATTTCGCCAAAAAAATTGCGGAATCACTTTTCCCGCCAAAAAATATTTTGTATTTTGTGGACCTAATTTTGTTTCAAATAAGGGTAAAATGGTCATTAAAAATTAAAAGAGGCAAACTTAAAAATGGACTCTCAAATTGGGCATTTTTGAAAAGGGGTATTGAAAAAGGGGCATTTTTAACAATTTCTCAAATCGTTAATAGGTAGTCAAATGATTTTTGGAAAATAAAAACCATTTCACAATCTATCCAAACGTTCATGGACTTAAAATTTCAAGTGAAATCAGTTGAAAACATAAGCTAGATAGATGAAGAACAAAGATTATTCCTATAATATATGATATTTTATATATCATTCATTCATTAAATAAAATAAAATCTATATATACATTTTTGGAGTACATTTAGCAAATAAATCCTGGTTTTCACTACTATTTACAATGGAATGCCACTGAAGTTAATTCTTAAGATTTGCAAAATTAAATAAAAGATATTAATAGTATATACATATATAATAAAAAAAAATCTAAATAGTATCCTACATTTCTGTTTTAGTACCGATTTAATAGTATACACATATATACATATATAATAAATACTATCCAAATGTAAATCTAATTAATGTAATTTTTTAAATGTTAATATATTAATTAATTAATGAAATTCGGCTTTAACACCAACAAATCTTTTGTTGGAAAGATTTTTTCAGATTCACTAATTTGTTTTCATTTAGAAAAATAATAAATTTACAAATAATCCTTATTTACAAAATAAAATCCAAAATATCTAGCAAATAGAAACTAATTATACTCTCAATTGTTTATAGGTAATATTTTCAATATTATAGGAGTTATATCTATATAAAAGGATAACAAATACAATTATCTATTTAATGGTAACATAATTCAACGAAATCTTTAAATAATTCTTATTTACAACATAAAATCGAATTAATTACTGTTGTGAGTCATTGTTTTTTATTTTACGTTTATGTTTGATGCTTTAATAATTATAAAAATGATCCGGTTTGTATAATATATATGTTCATAACACGTGAACAAGATGAATAAAAACAAATGTAGAGAAGGCTTAGTTTTCATTTCTTTGTTATATTCCTATACTATTATTTGAGGAGTACACTTTAT